TACGACCCACGTTACCCTTATAAAGACTAGCCGACAGCTTCATGCACACGAGAGCCTGAGGGGACCCTTTCTCCAAGGAGAATCAGTGAGTCATCGAAAGAGAAAGACCTGTCGCTTGTGGAGAAGAAAAAGTCGGATGACGCTGGGTGAGAATTGAGCCATACTGTAGAGGTTCCTCACATAACACTGGCTTATTCGAGCGGGCTGCATGGCTTGTGGGTACATGCGCGGACACGAACCTTACCTGATCGTCGTGTCCAGCCCCTGAACTGCAAGGACGGACAGCTCTAAATCGTGTTAAAATCTTCCAGATGCTTAACCCACGTGTGTGGAGCCTCCCAAGAAGGCATGTCCGAACGCTTATGTTACCACATCCTAGGAGCCATCTAGAATGAACGACGGTTTGCTGTTATGCTTCTAAGGGGACTAATTAGAGCAAAATCCATTTCGATGAGTTGGGAACTGGCTGGTTACTTTTCGCTGAGCACTGAGAAATCATTAGTATCTTGCAGTACTAGGTTACTAGAGCTGCCCAAAAGTTGGCTAGCTTCCAGGTCGTCGAGGTGAGCCAGCATGCGTCGCTTCCTATCCCCTAAGCCCTAAGCATCCTAGGATCCATCGTCAACTGGCCGCAAAAACACCGAGTTCCATGTGGTGCGCGTGCAGGGCCAGACCAAGGTCAGGTCATCAGATGTGTTGGAAATGGGGTAATGGATTCCTTTCATCATCCCCATAGAATTATAATCGCCCCATATAATCCTTGTCATAGGCCGCCCATTCCTCCATTCCCTAGCAAGCATGAGTAGATTATAAGGGTGTTGGCTTTACGGTCAAGGCTGGCCGTTGAGCAGAGGGCTTAGGGAGCTTACTGGGTGCTTGTCACCGAGCTGGTCGTCAGTGTTTTCAAATGACTCAAGAAAGAGAAGCAATTGAATCCAGAAAGAAATCCGCACCAACACGAACAGAAGGAATCCCGCAGCTTGCTGTGACCCACAAGAAGGCTTAGACTCGAAATTCCGAACAACAAGCTATTTCCTTCTCCTCCCGAAGACAGATTGGGAGAGATCACCAAGTGCTTCACGCGGGTTCTCGATAAGTGACGGATCATACGCTTGATATCCTGGGTTCTGTGCTCAGATGCTGTCTGACGATTTGCACTTTGAAAAAGTGGTTAACTAGCGGCCCGAACAAAAGAAGGGGGAGGTCTGGACCGAGAAATCGGGGTGGGGGGCGCCCTGAAGGGCGACATATGGGTCATGTTGAGAAACTCCCATGTAGGTACTCTAGGGCTCAGAGGAGATTGTCAAGCGCCGCAGTCAAGTCACCACCATGACAAGGGATGAGTACAGCAGGCTCGCAGTTGTGCTTGGCAGACTGGCATAAAATGGACCTTATTTTCAAGCTCGCCATCCTGAAAGGTTCTGCGCGAAGGCGGGGAGAACGATATGACGTTGCAGGCAAGAGCCAACGCCGCCTGACTGCACAGCCACCACTGGACCAGGTGCGGGGCCTCCGTAGGAAGCGTCTGGAGACCCAAAAACGGCCTGTAGGTCCAGTGGGACTTCCCATGTTCGGGGCATGTCCTTAATTTCGGGGCATCTTTTCAAGGTGATCTTGTGCCAAAGTACCACTAGCACTCTGGTTCTTGGTTACCACTTACCAATATTTCCAGTTGAGGCCATCTTCGTCTTCTCTGTAATTGCTTGAATTCGGTCACATGCGCAGTTCTCCAAACTAAGGTTCTTTCGGGAATCCAGGGGCTCCAATCTGAAAATACGTGCATGTAGCATCAATCAGCTCAGCAGATTCTTTCTGTCACCGTCTACTTGTCCGATTTGGCCGCCACAGTATAAATTAGGGCTACAAGTCTGGAATGCAATCAAGTCACCCCCAGGAAAAGGGCAACACTCTTTACCTAAAGCCCCATGCAGGCCCATACGTTCAAAGCTTCAAACGATAGCACACAGAACCCTAAACTCGGCTTCGCCTTGGAATGGCTGCAGGTGCCGGCGCCAAAGATGAAGCCTGCTAAGATGTGATCAGTCTGGGGCATAGCTAGTAGACTGCATGCCTGAAGCCAGTATTAGGGTTAGGACCCTAATCTTAAGCTCAAATTATTAAGCCTAAGACGCTGAACGCGAATATCCGGGTAATGATTCAACGAGCTATCAACAAACGCGATGCCAGCTGGCTGACGCTCGATGCTTGGGGTATGCTTTCTTGGGACCCTTACTGGGAAGCTCTTGGATGGCCAGTTGTCACAGCCCAGGGCTTTTGGGGCGTATCCTGCAGAAAGTTGCAAGACTCGGACCAGTAAGCTTGCAAAAGGGAAGCCCTCTACCCTGGGCCCCATGGATGCCAAACCAAAAAACTAAACCTTAAGCCTCGGGGTTGCCAAAACGCAGCTGAAATTCTCCCCAAGGGAAGTCGTTTCGAGCGTATGGGATCCGCCAGTTCGGGCGTTCTCCGCGTGGAGCCACCTCAATTAAGGGTTCGTGGGCTCCGGGGTTAGGGAGTTTAGGTGTTACAGGTTTATTGTATTGGGTTCCAGTCCGGTGGCGGAGGGTTCATCAGTGGGAGATATCCTTGGGGCTTGGAGATTTCGGTGACTTCAAACTTTCGAGCACCAGGGCCGCGCAGCAGCTGAGATCTGGTTTAGGTTTATATATATGGTAGAATTCGATGGTTTTAGCTGAAATGAGTGCGAACCCTCCGGTGGAGGTGTTGGCCAAGAATTGACGCTTTGCATCAGTGCCAGCTCCTTTTGGATAATATGAGCACTAGTCTAAACTCCTTAATGGGGGTTATATAGGGGATTATATAGGGGTTATTAAGGGGGATACTAGGAGTTTAGACAATGGTTCACATGGTGTGCATGTGCCCAACATAGCATTAAAAGCAAGGTTGGCAGTGTATTCGTTATCCATCCTCGGATCGGATGGTCGCTTACCTGGGGACGGGGAGTCCCTCAGCACCGAACACCTACACCCTCCTCTCCCCTTCTTTAACACGCTTTCCAGAATGACTCCTGACTCGCCGGATCCATTTTCCCATCTCCAGAAGGGTGTTGTTGTGCCAGGCTGAAAACCCGAAAGGAATCTGCAGCTTCGTCTTTGACCCCCTGCCCCATGGCTTCTTTTGTCTGAGGTTGAGTTTCGTCGAGGATCAGAAAGGGCATATGTCTTTGGCGTTTGCGCAGGTGGTTTCTGGCATTGAAGGCATACTCCGCTCTCTTAGTAAACGTAATGCCATTCGCCAGGCAAGTTTTTCACCCGACTGTCATCCCAGCCGCAGCTGCTGAATCGTTTCGTGGGCTCGTGCAACAGGGTTAAGTACTGTTGCATGGTCTGGTTGGGTTGTTACGACCCGCTAGGCCGCAGCTGCCAACACTGCTTGGTGCTAAGCAACGACCCCACGATATCATCCGTTGACTCAACACAGTGTCTTATGGCAAGTCAGCAAGGGCTTCATGATTCACTCAATCACCAAAGACAAGCTTGTTCCAGACCTCGAACTGAAGAATGATCACTCTCGCCTCCGCCTACTCGTAAGAATCCAAATGAGTAGTATTTTATTTGGGGATACTATGGTACCCATTATAGAGTAAGATTCTATCCTCCTTTTGGGGTATAGTATTTTAAATAAGGAATATAATCTTACTGTGTTTAACCACCAAAAACAACGCTACTCAAATGCTTTTGTAAGCAACAGCTCTTAAGTTTGGCCGCTTGACAAGTGAAACACCTGTTGACATGGTGGGGCTGGTACACCACGAATTGTTGCGGAACGACAGCCGGCAGGTAGTACTGATTGCTCTGAATTCCAATGGGAAAGAGCCTGGCTCCAAGTTTCCAGCGGACGAGGTTCGAGACGGCTATTTGCACCCTCATCGTGTTCAATTCCATCGTGATGTCCTTCGAAGCGCAATATGCACCTCGGCGTAGGCTTCTTTTGGCTCATCCAGCAAATGCAGGCGAGGCGGGTATTGTGCATCTGTTGGAGGGTGCCTGCGTAGCTGTATTGGGAATCAAACGTAAGGTACATGTATGCTCGCATGCCCAACATATTATGGTGGTTCCTGAACTCAACCCCCCCCCCCAGTGAGCTCTTCTCAAACATGCTTTCGTATACCAATGAGGAAGTTCTTCAGTCCGAGAAGCTTGGGCTTGGGCGTTTGTCAGTGTTTATTTGTGTGCATGAAGGAGGTACTTCATGCACTTTCCCGTAAGCGAGCAAACCCAGACTTTGACTTGACAAGCACCCGCGTCTACCTCCCGAGCTCCCAGCCAAGTGGCCCAAGCCTGATTCCAAAAGCTGGGCCAAGGCTGGGCTCACTTTGGGCTATGACTTAGGCACGTCTTGGGCTTATAGGGTTTAGGGGGTACAGGGTTCGGGTTGCAGGGTTGAGGTGTAGGATGTAGCTTTGTACTCATTCACGCTAGGCGAGCCTTTAAGAGGGCGTACGGAGGCTTAGGGAAATGCGCCCATTAGGGGGTGTGCAAGGTGAATATGAGATTTCAAGCTTTGGAAAATGCCGATTTCAGCTTGTTGGTTGAGGTTGGAGACTTCAAGGTCTGCGGGTTCCCATACATCTACCAGCGGGCCGGGTGTGTAACCACCCTTAAACCCGGAAACCCTTGACTCCAGACCCCAGACCCTGGAGAGTCAGTCGAAAGGTTGTATCCTCCGAAGAAGAGTAAGGCCACAGTGGAACCATCCATACCCTTTGCAGGTTGTCAGGGAATGGACATCGTTCATGGGGGTGTCAGGCTTGACTGCTTTCATCCCTTCCCTTCAGGTCCTTTCATCCCTTCCCTTCAGGTCAGAATGTTTGCTGCTCATAGAGAGAGAGATTCCTGCAAGCATGAAATTTGCAGGGAGCAGAATGAAGAACATACGTAGACGAAGCCTGAAGCCTTGAACCCTGAACCCAAGCCCCCAATCATGGCCATAATCTAATCTCGAACCGCGGCGCCTAAAACAACTAAACTGCCGCAGGCATGAGGACCTACGATGCTCCGGGCACTGAGTTGTGGCCTGGTGCCGGTGACGTATTCGTAGCATCAGAAGCTTTGATGCAAGACTTCAAGGGCTGGGGCTTCGGATGACTTCAAAGTCCATGTCCATGTGGCAGGGCATGAGGGAAAATGTCAAACGGCAATGGCAATCTTGGCTGGTATTTTAATTGCTGATCCCTTGGAGGTCGACGTATCACAAGCGTGGTTCTCACAACTTCTTGGAAAGCTTGATTCAACGGGTCTGCTTTCAGGGCTCAGGGGAATTCGGAAGTCTCCAAATACAAGGACACTAAGAAGGTATACTGAACGAATCGTTATTCGGTTCGCTACAGCTTGGCAGGACAGTGTTTTCTTGTGTGGCCACCGCTTGAATGATGCTGACTCATCGCATGACTCAACGCTACACATCTTCAATCGACGGATTGAATGTACGAGTGAAAAGCTGCGCAATTGCCGCCACCTACTGGTGTTGCTAAAGCAACTGGGAATTTTCGAGAGTGGGGTTCCTCTTGTCAACCTTCCAACATTAACATTAGCAGTACCAAAATGAGTCTCACAATGTCAGATTATCACCTGGCCTTTTCCTCCACCCTGACTCTCAAACTCACTTCCCACCTTCGACACTACTGCTCTGGTACACGGACACCCAACCTCATTGCCACGCTTGAAGTTGCGGTTCTGGTATTGTCAAGGCGCCGATAGGGATAGCGTGAAAATGTGGGCCCCAAACAAATCTGGGTTGTAGTCTTACATGAAGATCACACGACCAGTGTTGCAGGGCTCGGGCAAAAGCGTTTGCAATGCATGTAATGATCAACCGGAATCCATTGGGAGGTTTCTGAATACTATCAGCCAAACTTCGCGCAACCCACACAGACCAGAATCCTACATTGCTTTCGAAAAGTTGAAGATACATGGACATGGTAACGGATACGCATGCAACAGGGTTACGAGTCCTGCCACCATTGCTGGCACTGAATTTGCACAGCTTTGCTGGAGGAATGGCTTCGTTGAGTTCTGGGTACCTGTGCCAATCACACATCATCACATGCCAACCCACAGCAATCATACAAAACATAGGAACGCCTCGGAACGACACAAGTCATGTATGAATCTTTAGGATTTGCGTAGGCATAGGGTTGCAATTTGCTCAGCACTTGTCAAAGCCAGAGTGTTGCAAGAAAGGCCTCAGACAAAGCATCTGTCCGTAAGTCGCTGGGAGCCTTCATGCACATGAAACGCCGCGTACACCAAGAGTCGGGCTAAGCAAGTCCATGTGCCAAGTTCCTAATCCTGAACGCTAAGCCCCAAACCCTGCTACTCACAAGGAATGGGTCTTTGGGCCCATCTTCGCTGTAGAGCTGGTTCTCAAGATCGCGCGGGCCTTAGCGATCCGCTAGATCGATCACAAGCCAGTATAGCATCAAGCTTTGCAGCTTCGGGGTGGCGATGGTGCTCGTGACAGTATTTGCAGCTGCAATCTCCATGAAACTAGCGGCGAGATTGCATCTATGACTTCAGGATAGTGTGATACAATGGCACGGCGATAGGTTCTCATTTTCTTTTTCAGAAATAATGACCAAGGACGTTGTGTAACTTGCTGGTTCTGCGCTGGCCTGATATTTACAAAGCCTCTGCTTGAGGCCAGGCTTTTGGTCCATGATTTAGGACGCAGGACTCTTGCATTTGTGGCTGCCGCTCACGTCACATGTCAGTAGTGAGTTGACTGGGATAAACAGATTCCAAGACACGGCAAAAGGCTTCTGAATGATTCCAAGAGTCTGAAAAGAATCAAGTTGCTCTTGTGGCTTTTGTTCCTCCTGCAAAGCCCTCATAAGCCCCATGTACCCCTAGGGTCCTTCAGGGCAGCCGCCCTGTTTGAGAATCTTGCCCAGCATCATTCCAGGTCGGCATGAGGTTTCTTTTCTTCCTGGACTTCTGGAACTATTTCGACACCATCATGGCTACTTGGAGCATGGTTGGTGTGCGAAATGGGATTATTTGTGAAGCATGGCACTGAATGGTTTCCTTCCCATTCTAGCTCGTGAGGGTGCTCGAAATTCTGGGCCAACTCATCGCGAGTCTATACTGCCGGGCTTGGAGTGAAGATCCCAATGCTTCAGAAATCCAAGCTTCATTTGGGATCGGCCTTTCAAAGAAATGGCTCAGCATGGTCGTCGAGCAGATTCTGAAGTCTGCGCACAAGAGAATTCACCCAAGCTTTATCCTAAGTTGTGCACAGACCCCAGCAGAGCCGCAAAGACATTCAGAGCTGCGCTGGTTGCCAAGAACCCACTAGCAACGCTGCTGGCAGGCTTCAGCACTAGCTATCTATCGACTAGCGTCATCAATGTGTGTGTTTGTGTGCTTGATGACGCTTTGGAGCTATCAAAATGAGATGTATCTGTGTATCTGTAAATGTACATATACACATTACACTCTCTCAAGAGTGACAGGACCAATTTTGCAAGGTATCTAGGTTCTCCTCAATCTTGCCGCAGGCCCCTTGCCAGCCGAAGACCAAACGCCTTGCAAGCCCAAATGCAAGCAAGCCACAGTGCCAAAGTGCCGGGCACGTCCTGATTCAGCTCACTAGTACTGCTAGCGATCCCCCACGCATCAGCATTGTCCTCGCCAAAATGCTCCATGGCAAATGCCCCGGGGCCATGTCAGAAGATCCGTTTTTTTGACAGCTATGTTCCTGCAACCTGGTAAGCCCCAAGCTTAACATTGCCCAAGATCTTCAAGCTGCCCACTTCAGGTCATCTTGGGGTAGCGCCTCGTGAATGAGGCATACATCAAAGCGATCGCGATTTCTTAGTGCAGTTCTAGCGGTCTCTATCTCCACCTCTCTCATGGTCTGTCTGTCTGTCCCTCTCTCTCTCTCTCCAGGCTCTGTCCATGAGTTCGGACATGATGTACTTAGAACCAGCTAAAGGGTTTCTCAGCCAGCGGCCCTTGCACATGTCCATGAACCAAGGTCACAGCGTGGTTCGTTGACACCGTGTTTGCAGGCGCGCAGCATGCTCACATTCAGCTCATGGGATCTTGTACCCCGACTGTGAGGCAGGCCTGTTGTTAAGCCAAGCCCCCTAAGCGCTGCACCTTCAACCCTGCGGCGCCCATGTTCTTAGAGTTAATTGAAGATCACAAGAATATCAGGCATGACCTTTACCGCATATTCACCAGTATCCTGCCCTCAAGCTCGATGCCTCAAGACAACCAAGTAGGTCACGCGGCAAAAGCCCAAAAGCCTGAACTGGACACACTTCTTCTTCACTCCACTACTCGTAGCGCCACAGCTCAAGGACAAAACCTCTCACAGTTCAGTTTCCACTCACAAAGCCCTTGAAGCTCTGCACTGTAAGGACGCGCAACCCTGAACCACAAGCGCACCCAGTGTCCGACAAACTCTTTACGGCCAAGCCCTTCTTATCCAGCCCAAGCCCCCAGAGCCTAAATCGGAGGCTTGCTGCCCGTTGATCCCATGCTGTTGCGCTTAGCGCGCTTGGCCCGCCTCCTCCGCCTGATGCGATTGGTTCGGAAGTTAAAGGGCTTTGACGTCGCCTGGCTTCAATTCTTGGGTTGTAGGGGAGTATAGGTGTTACGAGCTCAGAGCTTGAGGAGGTAAATCTGGAGTTGGGTGTTTTTTTTCCTGGCAGAGGGCAAGGCACGATACCTTGGAGCAGCTTGAATGAAAGGACATTGGCAGGATGATGCCACGCGACACTTCCGCTGAGCATTCAGGGCTTGGGATGCATGATATCTTTGGCGTTCGCCTGAGCTCTGAACTTCTGGAGACTGTACGGATGTTGTGGACGTAGGTACACTGCCCAAGCTATCCCTATAACATTTTTGTTGAAGGACTCAAATATAGTCTTTTATGACCCCAGCCATGGGGCTTCGTGTTCGTTTGGGCAGGGTAGGCTGGATGAAATCAATGGCTCCGGACAGTTGCTTAATTTAGGACATCGTGCAGTACCTGGAATTCGTCCAAGAGTTGAGACGCCTGCATTGGCCGATGTTTAAGCAGCCTTTTGAAATTTTGTTCCATATGATCATGGCTTGAAGCCTCAGGCTCTCTACATTCTTACCACCGCACTTCGCGGTAGCGTCACTGCAGCTCGGCTTCTTCTGGGATGTTGACTCAACGGGGCGCCTGGACTGTTCTGCTTTCTGAAGCACGCGTGAGATTCAACACTAGGAGTATGTCCCAGTGGGGAGTACGATCATCCGCAGTACGTATCTGTGTGACAGGTTGGTTCCCGTTTACCATCGTTCAACAGGTTTCATTTTGCTCCTACATAGCCTCAGGGATATGATTGCCTGCAAGGGATCCAGTGTTTCGACGCAGCCGACCAGAGGAAAAGCATTGTGGAAGCTTCAGTCGTCGAGTAGTCTCAACATGCACTCCAACATAGCTACTGGAAATCTGGAAGGCACATGCTGCTTCTCAAATCGGCCTCCTTATGATAAAAGCAGGGCCACTGAATTCGATAGGTTCCCACAAAGACACCCAGGCTCGAGGCACTTCAACATGCCGGTAAGCATTTATCACAAACCAAGACTTGGTCATTCGCAAGCCTCGGAGGATAGATACACAGTCATACGGCAGAAGCAGGCCAAGCATTAGGACTTGCCCACTGAGGTTTTGCTGTGGTCTTTCCTCATGCCCCCTGGCAAGACGGAGTGCTTTGTTGTCTGTGAATATTCCCGACCAGTGCGCTGGCTGTGCAGCATGGCTAGACCCAACCAAGGCAACTTGAGCAAACCTGTCCCTGAATTCCATACTGCTCCTGTATTCCCAGCTCAATACAATTCCAAGGTACACTAAACAGGAGATGCGGTCGAATTCAGTATGGGATCAGCGTGAGCATGGGGCACTTGCCGAGTTTGCAGCAACACAGGTATTTCTCCCACAACACGCTCGGCATCACTACAAAGAATGCCACGGGATCCCCCAAAGTGGGGGGAAAACCCATGTATAGCACCAACAGAATCATGGCAAGGCCTGCAGAAGATGGGTGCAACGCAGAACTGTCCTGTACCCCCCCTCCACCCCGATACTGCTCAAACCTGTAAGGTGGCTTGTCATAACCCCTCGCAAGCACTAGGGACATTTTCTTAGGCTCAACTTGCACGGAAGGTTATTCCTGCTACAGCTGATGTTTGCGTTGTTTCTGTGCCTCGACGGACGATTCAGAGCAGTGCTGCTTGCGACTGGGAGTACTAGGGGCCTTTTCTTTGCTGCACTTCGCTGTGGATGGGACTTCCCAGCTGCGGGTAGCCCCCTAGATTGTCATCTGCCTTCTTGTTCATGATTCCTTGGAGGACAGGTATCTTTTGAGGTCCTAGGGATACATGCTTGAGGCTCACAACTTACAACTTGTAAATGTTCTGAGAAACTTCCTGAGGCAGAGGGTCGTGTCAGATTCCATCGAGTCGAACATGGCAAACAATGTCATGGTGGCGGAGAGTAAAGAGCTCTTCCTCTACTTCGGAACCTGCTCGCGATGTCTTCTGACAATGTTCGTCGCTTGGTCCAGAAGAGGTCCATCAGGGTGTGTAGGGATCTCTAAGCGGAAGCAGGTACGGCGAAGAATTTCGACTTCCTTGCATAAGTTATTCCTGCATAAGTAATAGCTAAGTTGTAGGTTGGACATGCATCACGGCTTTTCAGGTGCTGGTGATTCGCGAAGCATGCTTGAGATCAGGTTGGCTTCAAGAAGAAAATGCCAGGAAATGGCGACGCTCCCCCCAAGTAGACATCGTTGATGACTATTAGGCTTCAGTACTTGGGTGCTTTTCAGATTGCGGAGCCCTTTGGGTACACTGGGGGAACGTTCAGTGGCTTCCTGATTAAAATGAACTGCGAGAACAGCAAAGCAGCAGCAGGATCAGCAGCAGGGGTCTCCCATGAAGACCTGATGGAGCACTCCTTGTTTGCTTTTCGTAGGCTTGTCATCAGTCCCGTCCCTCCCCCAGCAGGCCCTGCCCCTCTGATTCCCAACAGTATAGAAGCCTTTTTCAAGGAGATTACGCTTGGAAACTGGCCTCCGGTGGCACGGCAGCCTGGCTATGAAGCACCTTTTTGGGGGAGTAGTTTTGGACAGGGCTTCGATGGAAGGCTTGCGCAACTCACGGCGTTATGTGGAGGCCAACGCTTGAGAATCTCACAGCTACGCGGAGTGACCCTTGTGAAGAGGATTGTTGCCATAGTAAAGTAACAGACATGGGTCATTTCTAAAGAAGCGGTTTCTTCCAAGTTGAAGCTTCAAACGCCGCGCCCGACTGTGGTCCACCCAACGCCAAACAGGGCTGCGCATCGCCCGCATTGTGGTTTCCAGACTTGTCAATGATCCGCGGTGTGACACGTGCATATCTTCGGGTCTTAATCCGATAAAAAAGAGCGGCATTAACGACTAATGAGAGAATCAGCAGAGACGCAAAAAAACGCTGATGACGATGAAGTCGAGCCGCAACTTCGACTGATGAATACACACCCGCCCAAGCCGGAAACTGCGCCAGTGACTGATCTGGTACAAAACAGCCTGCTGTGTTTTGTACGTAGAGTCGGCACATTCCGGAACGCTCACCTCGGTGGCTCAAATTTTGAGTACCTCCTAATCCCAGGCTGCTGCAGGACAACGTCGCGGAAGCATTCACCGCCTTTTCGATTATTCACAAGGTGCCCTGTTGGTTGGAACTTGAGTGACCCTGCTGTACTTGCCCCACGTTGCAATGCTTTGGGGTATGGGCCAATGGGTCTTTGAACTTGGGCTCAGCCCTATGATACAGACAAGGTGCCTCAGGCTGTGGTATCACTTCTGGCATGTCTTTGCAGCAGGAAGGCAGTAATTATGCCGTTGATGGCTTGAAGCCTGCGGATATGGTAAGGTGCATGCTCCAAGCTCGTGCTTTTCGCATGATGGTACATATTTTGATGGCTTCAAACGTAAGTTGGGCTGTAGTGCTGCCGCAGTACTTTTCATTTGCATCATTCCCCAGATCACCATCGGGTATGCTCTCATTGCGGTGATCAATGGCGTTTTCCTCAAGGAGACCTTCTCGGCGGCAGACAACGATGACAAAATCATGATGCGCAACTCGCTCCTCGAAGTGGCAGCGCCAACCCTCAATCTGTAACGCTCTTTGCTGTAGCGCTTCGCAATTTGTTTTACGTGAAGTATGATCAACGCTGCTCTTGAACAAGATCTTAAGGAGCTTCAAACAGCTTAGCCAAGCCATGTGAAAATCATGGAATCGCCTTGCATGATGGACCTGTTGTAGGCTAGATGGCTATATCTATTGTCGAGCCCGCTGATTCTTGAGTATTCTTTCTTTCCACTTTCTGCCTCATTGTGATACTTCGCATGAGAACGGCCGCTGCAGCTGGTGTCACAGCATGACTGCCATCCAGACAGCGCGGGAGGCCTCGAACGCTAGCAATTGTTTGAATCAGGCCGGTATGCAGGATGACTAATGACTAGTCCGATCAAAGAACCCTTGCTGCATTTCTGGCATGCTGTGATGCCGCGTGATGCCCCTACATTCTCGGGCTTTCCTAGCCAGATGCCGTAACACCGCTTTTGTCAGACTTGCTGCGCCACAACCGAGGCAACACAGAGAAAAAACGTCACCAGCACATCAAGAAGATGAAGTCGCTGTTTGAGGCTACTTGCATGCAGGGCTTCAGGGTGCCTTTAGGATCCTTTAGGCTGATGTTTGACGCACTTCTTCTATTCAGAAGATGTAGATGGTATGAAATTTCATTTAGGGATTGTCAATCCCTGATTATTCTGCTCTTCAGAGGCAATGGGTGTCCGGCTAATTTACGGGTTGTTCAGCGCAGGGGTCCACTGGCTTGCAATCCACTTGTTTCTTAGGAATTCTTCTGTATTTGTTTTTGACACTTGCTAGGCCTTCCAAACAATCCCCAGGTTGCCAAAATGCACTCCTTCTGGCCCACCTCCGATAAAGGGATATCGTCTCAAAATCGCGACTCATTCTGATGATTGTTATAGGTGGCAATGCTCACAGAATTTCATGGCATTTCATGTCGCGGTTAGAAGTTAGAAGTCACAGCCCCAATGCAGCCCAGCTTCAAGCCTTGAAGCAACCTACCCGTCACCTGCAAGGCAGCCGACGAGACAGGGGACGGAGTTTTGGATCATGAGGAGTTCATCCAAGTGAACCTTGGCATGGGAACCATGCAGGGCATGCAAGGAATGTTGGAATGTGGCATAATTTGTCTTGTTGACGGCAGGAGCACGTGACATTGGTTGTTGCCAGGTGCCGGGTGGCCTCAGTCCCTTTGGGAAAGGCAGCTAGAGTCCAGAGTGTAGCTTGGGCTCGGGATCAGTATTGGGATTGCGCTGCAGCAGGCAAGCCTTGCACCATCATGCGAAAGTGTGCATCCCCTAGCTCAGCGTAGATGGACATGGCAAGCAGAGATACGCTGTACAGATCCCTTTCCTTCGGGGGTCCTTAATCGCTACTACTGGAAAACCACCATCTTCAAACTCGGTAACTAGCACCTGCCCATCACCAGATTCGAATGTCTGCCAGACAAGAACCGGCGTGCCCAGATTTCTGTCATCAACACTGTTGAAGGGACTCGTGTGCAGTGTTGTATCGTTACACTTTCTGGTCCATCCTGGCTGGCGAAACCCTCAACCCCCACCCATGAGGAGTGAAACCCTAAAGCGCCGCCCATGAGGATGACGGATCCTGAGATCGTGAATTGGTTGGCCGCCATGGATCTCCAGATTTCTGATCCAAACATGGTGTTGCCTGGGCAAATTGTGATTTCCTCGCCCCCAATGGCGGCTTGTTCTTGTAACTACATGGCCCCAAGGTTCGACATGGTGGCTGAAGATGGAAACATTACGGCGGAGCAGCTGGTGAAGGGCGTTAGCCGCCTGAAAGGCAGCGCCAGGAGCTCCCTTGAGTGCTGTGGACTTTCGAGATGAGGGTTGCCGGGCAGGGTGTAGAGTTTGGGCCCACAAAGCTAGACCGCTGATGACTTTACGATAGAGCTCTATGCATTTCAAAGCAGAGCATGCACCGGCATGCTTTACAAGGAGTACGGACCTTCACCTGCTGACGCTCGATGTGAAGAAGCTTACCCACATGGTACAGGATTTGTGGCTCGGCTATTCATCACGGAATGGAAGTGTGTCATGGGAACTAGTCACGCCCCTGAGTGCCATTGCACAGAACTAGCGCTTCTTACACATGGCAGGCATGCTTGACACTTTCCAGCTCAAGTGCGGCTCATGTGGCGAAGTCTGCCTCGGCAAGGTTGTAGCCTTTGGGTTGAAAAGCCTTCCCGTAGTGCCGCAGTCGCAGCAGCGCCGCAATGCGGCCCTGCCAGCGCGCCCAGTGCAGCAAGTGTGGCAAAAACGTCGGTTTTTTCGGAGTGCGAGGCCTGGGCCTGTCCCTGAAGTTCCATGAGGCCAGATGCGAGGGCATCCCAGCAGAACCACAGCCAGAGCAGCTCGCTCCACCGCCCTTTCTCCCGCACGTGGATCGGCAAGTCGACATGGCAGTCCTCAAACTTGAGGACCAAGTCAGGACCCTCTTCCTTCCAGGAACAGAGGTCCGAAAGATTATGCAAGAGCACCCGGAATTGGGCAGAGACATGTTGAATCTCATCATCGTTATTTGGCGCCCTGGCGCTGGAGGCAACGCACCCCTCCGAGCATTACTCGCCAGAGGCCCAGGTGATGCCGAAAACAGCCTCAAGGTCAAGGCTGTTTTGCAGAGGCCCGGCCTCCGACTGATTTCACAAAGCGATGTCACCTTCGATCTCCTGGAAGATGATCTGGTGAAGTCCGCGCAGTTTGACGGATTGGCCATGGACGGTGAAGACCTCCATGAGGTTTTGTTGGAGCGCTGCAGAACGTTGCAGCAGCTGTGCCGGCGGGCGGCTGCAAACGTGGCCAGCCGGGGAGGTGCATGATAATTCGAGAAATGTGTGGCATCCTTCATGCATCTGTACGGATCCCCAAATTAGGGATGGTATGTGCAGCGTTCATCATGACTTGTGTGGAAGGCTTCACTTTGAGGCTGGGGGAGCAGGGGACCATTCATTGATTGGGAAAGCTTAACAGAATTGCAGCCATGCAAAAATTGCTTCACGTGCCTTCCAGTAAGCCTGCAGACGACAAGCTTGGTGACGAGATGTCACCGCCCTTGCGCTGCTGCTGATGTTTTCGTGCCCGGTGTTGATCACAGTTGGAGTCTGCCTCGTCCAGGCCTGATAGCCGCATAGCCATAGCATCAAGATTGAGATTGATTGGCATTTCCACGTTTCTACATGTGTCACTGCAAGCCTTGTAATGTTGTACGCATTTGAGCCAACGCGGAACTTAATTCATCGCAGATCGATGCCTTCCTGGAAAAGCTGCATATGTCGAAGTCAGGATGAAGATGTTTTTGTCATTGCCATCGCCTGCACGTGAGAAGCCACAAGCATTAACCTCTATCAGGACTGGGTGGTACAGAAGTCAGCTTGTCTTCTACAAAACCCTGTTACCCCGGTTGACAAACGAACTTAAACACGAAGGCCTGGCGTAATCGTCACGAGAGGGGCGGTGGAGGTGGTGGCGGTGGCAGTCGTGGCAGTGGCGGTGTTGGCAGTGTTGGCAGAGGTAGCAGCAGTAGCAGCAGCAGCAGCAATAGCAGCAGCAGCAGCAGCTATGCTTATAGTTGCATATCATGATTCTTATTCCTGTATTAGTGGTAGTAGCAGTAGAAGTAGTTGGCAGAAGTAGTTGCAGCAACTGCAGTGGTTGTGATGGATATAGCCGTAGTTGTCGTTGTCATTGGTATTGTCAGCGCAGCCGTAGCAGTACCAACGGTAGTAGTAGCGGTAGCAGCAGCGACATTCATGCAATAACAACAGTAGAGGCGCCATGACAGATAGCAACGGATAGCGCCAGCAAAAGCCATCATTTGAACGAAGGGCTTGCCGCAATGTCAGCTTGCGAAGTCAATTTCATGGAAAATTGAAAGAAGTCATGGCTGGCACAGCGTGACGTTGACGTATGATGTGTCTGATAAGGAAAGTCCTTCAGGATGGGTCTTCCAGTTGATTTGCTGAACAGCTGGGATGAAATACGGGCTGACAGATCCCTCGCCTGCAACGCAGTTCATGTCGGGGTTGGATCTCACATTGCCTGCATGAAATTCCTTACATGTCACGACATGTTCTGCAATTAGCTGGGGCGGAGGCCTTACATGTCTTCCGTTTTTGGATTCGGATTTGGGCTGTAGTGCATAGCTAGTACCCCCAAAAAAATGTTCCAACTCTGCAGGCCCCAGCCCATGAATCCTCTCTCCGTCTCCCTTTCTTTATGAGAACTCGTCTAATCCTTTCAGGCCCCCTAGGGCCTAGGGTACCCTCCGCTGTGCGAAGCTTCCAGGTCTGGACGAAACTCTTTCGAGACTGCGCTGCAATACGAATGCCCCCAAAAGGTCTCCGTAGTAGTCAGGGCATCATTGCATGTCACATTCTTTGTCCCAAAAAAAGAAGGGAGATTGCTTGGACTTGGGATTCTAGGCTGGCCGCTTGTAGGTTGGAATGCTTTGGTGGGGGTGGGTCTGCATGGTTCTTGAAGTCTTGAGCTGTATACGACAGCACGACGAGCTCTGGGTGAAGTGTTTTTTGTTGGTGATGAGCTTTCGAGCTAACTTATGATCCTTGGCACAAACAAAAATATCGTATGCTATGAGCTGAAGCGCAGGAAGAATGATTTGGGCAAGTGCTTGTGGGTTGGCGTTAGTTCATGCATTGCCTTCCACATTGCTCCAACGCAAAGTCTGAGAACCATTGAAACAAGCAATGTTGTTTAAGCCACGTTAGAGTTCAGCGGCGTTCTGCATAGAGAACTAACTTTGGGGCCATTCCGTCGTTGGTAGTAGCTGCGCCTCACGGCACGGCGGCCAAGGTTGCATGGTTAGCTGCTACCACACTTCATCTGCAGGACCATAGTTGACAGGTTCCCACCTCAATGGCTTCCCTGAAAACGGGAGGATTTCGAAACCTTGCCGACGCCTTCTGGTTGTCTTTACAGATCAAACTTTTTCGGGGGTATATTGTGGACCGTAATACTCACAAGTTACCAGATCACAGAAGCAGGCGCAAGTTTGTGTGGGGGCGAGGCGCAAAGGACATTGTGCCTGGAGCCCAAACCCTGCAGGGTACATTTTTAACTGACCTACATCTGAACCCCAAACCATTGAAAAAAGGCCCCCTTCAAAGAAACCCTTGACCCGAAGCTACGCCACACCCGGTGCCCAAGAATACTTTGGACCCTAAACGCGAATCCAGGCAAAACCTTTCAACCCAAAGCCACCCTAAACTCGAATGCCTCGCTACAGCCAAGGACTTCAGGGGATCAAAAGTCGGGAAGGCGGGTGAGTTTTGAGGTTTTGGGGGGTTCAGGGCATGGTGTGTAGGATCATTCCGGTTTTGATGGTGTTTTGAAGACCACGTTTCTCAACAGTATGCATCTCTTGTTCTTCAACTTGTCTGTATCTCACAGCGCAAGAAGTGACACCTGAGGTGTCCCCTTTATGATGATGTGCTATACAACACCCTTACCTAGTCCTTCGCGAGAAACCTATGTTGCCCGAAAGCCGAAAGTGGCCACTTCTTTGATGTTTGGTTTAGTCCTCTTGCACATACAGAGTCCTTACAAGACAGCAGGCTCTAATAAGCGAGAAATTCATCGTAACCAATGTAGTTCCAATTCTCCCGGCCATGAAGTGCAAATAACCCTGGGATCCATCTCTTTCCCCAGCAAACGAACGGGAGTTTGTGTGTCATGTGCCTTTTTTGTGGCACCGTATCGCCGTTTAACTAATTACTGTCATCATACTTCCTGTCTGGCATGCTCGTCAGGGGGTGCCGATCCTTCGCGCGTCCACGATGGAGATTTGATGCGAAGTTAAGGGGTTTTTAGAGCACATGCCGGTCTCATTCGAAGAAACCGGAAGCCGCAACTTTGGCGGCGACCGCAAAAGCTTGCCTTGCTATTGGTGCTATCACTGCAAATGAATGTGCCCACCATTTCTGAGAAAAGGCGGCCACCAGCACTTGCCAGCGCGCTCTGACTGTCCAAGATGATGACAAGAATATGATCCACGCAGCAGTGCAACTGTATAGTGTATCTAAGCAGGATACTAATGATTGCGGATGTTTGTTATGTTCTTCATGCAGTTAAGACTGTTGCATCTGTTTCTTGCTCGGGCATCATTATGACCACCCAGATATCGTGAGTTTTTTCCATGCCTTTTCGTTGTCTGCGTTCTGTGCCAAGCTGGTGCAACTGCTGATGCGCGTGCCGCTGGTGCTGCTGGCGGTGCTGGTGCCGGTGCCGGTGCCGGTGCCGGTGCCGGTGGCGGTGCCGGTGGCGGTGCCGGTGCCGGTGCCGGTGCCGGTGCCGGTGCCGGTGCCGGTGCCGGCGGCGGTGGCAGCGGTGGTGGCGGCAGTGGTGGCGGCGGTGGCGGTGGCAGTGGCGGTG